GGGGACGGGGGTGAGGGGGACGGGGGAGGGTGAAGTTAAAAATATGCTGACATAGTCTATGGCCTAACAAAGGGAGTATCACTGATTGCCTTCTTGCCTAGTCCCCCAAAATTTTCCTGTGCTTGCCGTGCCTTAGTTATAAATATTGCATGATCTTCATCATGGTGAAGGAGGAAATTATATGACAGAAACTAAAACTGATTTCATTGTTTACTAATAGCCACGTTATCTGTTTTAGTTTCCTTATGTTACTTAGCTAAAATTCAACTAAACGTGCAAAAATCGTACATATTTAAACATAAATTATGTTTGAACTGAACAGTAGGCTTAGCATTCTCATTTTAGTCACTCTCACGTTGCGTTGAGTATTTCGAAACTCACAATGGTCAAATATAGGACGAGTTGAGTTTCATTCACATTCGAGAAATGTTTTAATCAACCAACTCGCCTGACGTTAGGAAATTGGCAAGTTTCGTAACAATGACAAGATATATACTTACATATTGACCAGGTTGTTGTCCCCAAGACATAATCGAAGAAAATCTTTTCCTAAATACAAATAAAAAGTGAAATCCAGTCAAATCAGAACGAAAACGGATGTTGACGACGTAAGATAACTCTGTTGTACTTCCGGTTTGAAAAGGGTTTTGACAACCGAGTGAACCCGTCAACAATGCAACAAATGTGTAAATAAGAATATCTTACAGGTAAATATATACTGATTTGTGATCGTAATTAATATCTTGGCATATGTTAGCCATATTGTTCACTTAAAGTGACTGTCATTTTGTATATACAATGTTAATTGCAAGAAACACCAGGATGTATTTCTCGTTACAAAACCAGCATATCAAGGTGTCTGCAACAATTTTATCACGTTTACTGCAATTTGGTTGCAAGTTATTTTGAAGCGAGCTTGCTCTCGTACAATCACGTATTTCAAAAACATTTCAGGAACTATCTTTTAATCAACAAACTCTCATTTGGTTAGAAATTAATGGGCTACCATATTTTATCCTTGTAGCATATCTGTATTAACTTTTTCATGCCCAGCAATTTTATGTATGGTTATGGGGTGGGAATCTCAACTGTTTCCAAGCTGTGACTCAGAAACTAGGTCCATAGGTTGTGGGCAGATCCCAGGATCAATTAATTCTAATATCATGACTGCATTCGTCTCTTTTTGCCCAGCATTTGTATTTATAGTTTTGGGATGGGGATCTTAACCGTTTCAAAGTTATGACCCAGGGGTTAAGTCTGCAAAGGTGGGGCAGACCCTGGGATCCATTCTAATATCATGACTGCAATAGTCTCTTTATGCCCAATAATTGTATATATAGTTTTGGGGAGGGGATCTCAACCGTTTCAAAGTTATGACCAAGGGTCTCCAAGGGTGGGCCAGACCCTAGGGCCATCCTGGAAGCAACTGTGCATTCTTCTCTTTATATTCAGCAATTGTATATATATATGGTTATACGGTGAGGATCTCAACCATTTCTAAGTAATAAACTTTTTTTGGCCCAACCCCTCAGCCCCCTAGGGGGTCAGCTCCACCATTTGTACAATTTTGAATCCCCACCTCCTAGGAATACTTCCAGGGAAATATGGTTGATATCAATATCTTAATTCCAGAGAAGAAGTCGCTTAAAGCAATAAAGCCAAATTGCCCCCTTTTGGCCCGCCCCTCAGCCTCCTGGGGGGTCAGCCCTACCATTTGTACAATTTTGAATCCCCACCACCTAGCGGGGATAGAGATGAGACAATGGGAGAGAGGGAAGGGGAGAGAGGCGGGGATAGAGATGAGACAGTGGGAGAGAGGGAAGGGGAGAGAGGCAGGGATAGAGATGAGACAGTGGGAGAGAGGGAAGGGAAGAGAGACGGGGATAGAGAACAGACAGTGGTGAGGGAGGGAAGGGGATAGAGATGAGACATTGATGAGGGAGGGAAGGGGAGAGAGGCGGGGATAGAGATGAGACCTCAAACCGGAAGTACAACAGAGTTAACTTCATCGTAAATATGGTTGATATCCATCTCTTAGTACCAGAGAAGAAGTCGCTTAAAGCAATTTAGCCAAATTGCCCCCTTTTGGCCCTGCCCCTCAGCCCCCTGGGAGGGTCAGCCCACCATATGTACAATTTTGAATCCCCACCACCTAGGGATGCTTCCAGTGAAATATGGTTGATATCCATCTCTTAATTCCAGAGAAGAAGTCGCTTAAAGCAATATGGCCAAATTGCCCCCTTTTGGCCCTGCCCCTCAGCCCCCTGGGAGGGTCAGCCCACCATATGTACAATTTTGAATCCCCACCACCTAGGGATGCTTCCAGTCAAATATGATTTATATCCATTTCTGAGTTCCAGAGAAGAAGTCGCCTTAAGCAATATAGCCAAATTGCCCCCTGGGGGGTCAGCCCACCATATGTACAATTTTGAATCCCCACCACCTAGGGATGCTTCCAGTCAAATTAAGTCAAATTCCAATCAGTGGTTAAAAAGAAGAAGTCGTTCAAAGAAATTGTTGACGTACAGATGACGGATGACGGACGCCACGGTATCGCATAAGCTCACCTTGGTCCTCCGGACCCGGTGAGTTAAAAGTCATCTTATGAAGTTAAAATTAATAAATTTGTGAAATAAAAATGAAAATTGAATTGGGTAGTGAAATACTTTTGGCCATTTGTACTGTAGTTTATAGATCTCAGACAAAAAAGACAAGCATTTCTAAGATAAGATAAATTTTATCTAAAGTCGGTGGGCATTTAGAAAAACAAATAACATAAGCTCTATAGAACTTGACCGACATAAACAAGTGAAAAAGATTCCCATTGCTTGAGCAATGTTTTTGCTCTGTTGGGCAATAATAATGTAAAGAGAATCCAAGCACATTTTGTAGATCAAAATTCAAACAAGAGGCCCAGAGGGCATGCATCGCTCACCTGGAAATGTAGCAAAATTGAAGATGAAATAGCCAGATGTTGCTGTACATGTACAGGGGTTATATTTATATGCAATTGGACAAAACCCTGTCATTCCTACAGGAAAAGGAGGATTTTGAAGAATTAGCTATGTTTCAACTATTGGGCCCCGCCCCACTGCCCCCAGGGGGGTCAAACCCGTCGTTGATTCAAAATAAGTTCCCCTTCACCCAAGGATGCTTTTGACCAAATATGGACATAATCCTGTCATTCCTACAGAAGAAGAAGGATTTAAAGCTATTTTCCAATTTTCCTATTTGGCCCCAACCCTCTGCCACAGGGGGTTAAAACCCACAGTTTATACAAAATTGGTTCCCCTTCACCCAAGGGTGCTTCTTCCCAAATTTGGACAAAATCTTGTCATTCCTACAAAAGTAGAAGTATTTTGAAGAATTTGCTCTGTTTCTCCTACTGGGCCCCAACCCTCTGCCCGAGGGGATCAGACCCAACCTTTATACAAAATATAGTCCCCTTCACCAAAGGACGCATTAGACCAAATATTGACAAAATCCTGTCATTCCTACAGAAGGAGAAGAATTTTAAAGAATTTGCTAAATTACCCCTATTGGGCCCAACACCTCAAGCCCCAGGGGGGTCAGACCCATCATTTATACAAAATTAATTTCCCTTCCCCATAGGGTGCTACTGTTCAAGTTTGGTCAAAATACCTTCATCCTAATGGAAGAAAAAGGATATTAAAGCTATTCCTCTATATCCCTTATTGGGCCCGCCTCTCTGCCCCCAGGGGGTTTAGGCTAACTGTTTATACAATATTGGTTCCCCTTCACCAAAGGGTGCTTCATACCAAATTAGGACAAAATCCAGTCGTTCCTACAGAAGAAGAAGGATTTTGAAGAGTTTGCTCTATTTCCCCTATTCGGCCCACCCCTCTGCCCCTAGGGGGAGCACACTTACTGTTTATACAAAATTGAGTCCCTTTTGTCCAAGGATGCTCCAGATTGAATTGGGATGAAAGTATGGTAGAAGAAGGATTTTAAAGGTTTAAACTCTATTTCCCCTATTCGGCCCCGTCCCTCTGCCCCCAAGGGGGCCACACCCACTGTTTATACAAAATTTAGTCCCCTTAGCCCAAGGATGCTCCAGACTAAGTTAGGATAAAATCCCTTAATCCCTACGATAGAAGAAGGATTTTAAAGGTTTTACCTCTATTTCTCCTATTCGGCCCTAGAAAGTAGTTATAAGAAATATTATTTCTATGTTATGAAAAAGATTTAAAGCATCCCTCACATTTTTTTTTATGTGCAATGATTATATCCTTATTTATTATTTTTTCATATTATTCCCGACAAGTGATTGGCCAGGAGTGCATCACGTGTCCACCGATAAAAACCGATATTGATTTGGAGCGTGTGAATTTTGTTGAAAGACTGGGTGTTTCTAAAAAAAGAATTATGACGTGTCTCCAAACAATACACCGTCCCATTTCCGAAGCTTTTTTGTTGTGTTTTTTTTGAGAGTGTTTGCATTACTGTTTTGTAAAATAATAAAACAGTTGTAGCCTTTAACTACGGTCAATACCTGGATTTATCGACCCGAGAAAAGATATATTAACCTTGGACTGCGTCTTCGGTCAATATATCTTTTCTCGGGTCGATAAATCCAGTTATCGACCTCAGCCAAAGGCTATAATTGAATAATAGCCCATATTAGACATCTATTGTCAAAGTAGCTCAAGTCTGGTGTTGACATCAATTGTTTAGTGGCTGTGTAATCCCTACCTCAATCAGAGCCCCATAAACCAGTTTGGGTCTAAATTCAGCACTGTAGCTCTCCAGATATAAAATGTGTAAAAGTGTTACTTATCATATAAGGGTCCGCAGTGGCCAAGTGGTTAAGGTGTCTGACATTCTTCTACCACTAGCCCTTCACCACTTGGTCGTGGGTTCGAGACCTATGTGGGGCAGCCGCCAGGTACTGGCCGTAGGTCGATGGTTTTTCTCCGGGAACTCCGGCTTCCCTCCTACGCTAAAACCTGGCACATCCTTAAATGAACACAGCTGTAAAAACTTATCATATGGACAAGAGAAATCTGTAAATCAAAAGGTTGATGATCTTTAATGGTACCCTGTGTACAGCATTGTAGCTGTTTGTCACACGCAAATGTCATTAATGGTCCTATATCTGATCTGTGTATTTCTGTATATGCTAACAGGAAAGTAAAATTGTTTAACTTAGGTACAATGTATCACTGCATCAGTTATAAATGCAAAGAAGAGTTCCACTCTGTGATTGTTTTTGACCGGGAGTATTCTCCGTTGTATATAGAAGATGAAGCTGTAAAAAGGAGTTTTTCTGGCTTTGAGTGACCTCACATGTCCAGTTTTTCATTTGCTTCGCGGCCCATGAGTTTGATATTCATTTTGATGCTAGTCTTGTAAAAATCTTGTTTGGCAATATGGTAAAACAATAGGCTTTGCAATGTAAGGGTCCTGAGTTTATGACCCCTGCAGATATCTTTTTTTTTCTCCAGTTTTCACAGCTCCAATGCTATGAAATACATGGAAAGTTGTGATTTTTATGGAATATTTCTTTTGAAAAGGGCTTAACCCTTTCACCACTGTAGACCAAAATGGACCTACCAAGATAAATGTATGACAGAGTCTACTAAAGTTACCAAAGCGTGAAAGAACTTAAACAATTAGCTCACAGTGTTAATAATATACTTTGTTGATCAATACCATTTCCGTTATTTACAAATATAAAGTTATATTT